TATATATATATATATATATATATATATGCATTTATATATATAAACAAACATATCATATATGTGTGTGTGTGTGTAATTACTAATTTTCCAGTTGCTGAGAATGATATATTTTGTGATTTTACTTTACATACTGCAGAAATCACCGAGGCATCACACTGTTCAGTATACCAGGCAAGGTTATTACCCACATTCTTTTGAGAAGTATCAGAGACGACCTACTGAGGCATCAGAGCCCGGAGCAGTCTGGATTCACTCCTGGTAAGTCCACAGTAGACTGTATCCTTGCGCTTCAAGTCATTGTAGAGCGCCATCGTGAGTTCGGGCGTGGGCTGCTTGCAGCCTACATCAACCTCAAGAAGGAGTTCGATACGGTGCATCGGGAATCACTCTGGGAGATTCTGAGTCTGAGAGGAATTCCAACAAGGATTATTGGACTAATAGCAAGTCCGTATACTAATACTGAAAGTGCTGTAAAGTGTGGCGGGGGCCTGTCGAGCTTCTTTTCTGCTAGTTCAGGAGTGAGGCAAGGCTGTGTCCTTGCACCAACACTTTTCAACACTTGCATGGACTGGATACTGGGCAGAGCTACTGTTCAAAGTCATTGTGGAGCAACTCTAGGCAATATCAAGGTTACAGACCTTGACTTTGCTGATGATGTTGCGATTTTATCTCTGTCCTTGGAATCCTTAGTGGTGGCTCTCGATGCATTTAGTAATGAAGCGAAGCCCTTGGGTTTAGAGGTCTGGACCAAGACCAAGATCCAGGGCCCGGATTCACCAACGCACTTACGATGGTAAAATCATTGGTAACTATAGTTACCATGGTAACCAAACAGCGGTGGTTTTCACTAACAACTTGCCGTTACCATGGTAAATTTTACCAGTGGTCAGAGCACTGGTAACTGGGAAGCCGATGTCACGTGTTATCTCGTCAAAAAATCAATATTTAAGCAAAGTTATAGGCTTGTTTTTACACCTGATGTAACTCATATGATGGGAAACACGTATCGCAATACGGACATAGCGAAGAAATGCAAATTTCACATGAAACTAGCAAAATAAAATCCACACATTCTCGTAAAATTATAGGCCTATATTATACTAGAATGCATGGAATCGATAAATAGGAGAACTCAAAGAATTCTTCTCTGACATGATTATTACAATTGATATAGAAAAAAACTACTTTGCTGATATATAATCTGGCAATACTAACGCTAAACGAGTATAGCAAATTCTGTGCCTGTGACAATAAACTCCAAAGTACATGGACAAGAATAAGCGATTACTAAAAAAAAATGGTCCGGTTCTTTGCTTAACAATGATAATAAATAAGTAAATAAATAAATAAAAAACTGTACTAATATTAATAATCATATAAAAGTGTTTGTATTGGTTCCCATCTATATAGTAAATATATATCCCACATGATAGATATGATCAAATAAATATATTATTTTTTTTCTAGATGTGCTTAAATAGTGTTTTAGCTGTGAAGATTATTTTTAAAAATCTCGGTGTATAGTTCTGTTTACATGTTACGTGACTGGCTGAAGGAACCTAAAAGATTATGTATGGCGCTCGCTGATTGGTGGAATTGCTTTACTAGAGCCCTCTGTTGGCTACCATTAGAATGAGTCGATTTACGATTGTAATAGCATATCCAAATTACCATTTCTTCGTGAATCTCACTTTGCCATCACTGGTAAATGCAATAGTAAATGACCGCTGGTAAATGCGTTACGATCGTATGTTAGTGAATCCGGGCCCAGGACTTTCGGGGACTTGCTAGGAGAACCTGTTCGGTCGGAACGTGCTTGTGGCGAGGACATTGAAGTCACAGAGAGCTTTACATACCTTGGTAGTGTAGTTCATAACTCTGGCCTGTCAGACCAAGAAGTCAGCAGACGGATTGACCTGGCAGCAGGGGTCATGAACCCCCTCGACAAGAGTACTTGGACATGCCAGAACCTGTGCAGAAGGACCAAGCTACGGGTTTTCAAGGCCCTGAAAATGCCTGTTTTGCTATGCGGTAGTGAAACGTCGACATTATCCTGTGCCTTGGAGTCTTGTCTTGATGCCTTCTGTAATAGGTCCTTGGGGTACTGTTGGCGGGACTACGTGTCCAACCAACGGTTGCACTGTGAGACTGGCACAGGACCTGATACCTGCACAATCCGTGATCGCCAACTCAGGCTATATGCAGTCTCAACGGTCCACTTCAAAACTCTCCAGTGGAGCAATGATTACCCTATGGTGTTTCATTTGGACAGGCTGGAGGAGGGGGAGTGTGCAAGGGGGTTTGCTGTGGCAATCTCTGGTCGTTTCACAGCGCTCGACAATCTGACAGACCCTGTACTTCTATGGGACACCTTCAAACTCGAAACGCTTGATGCAGCCCAAGAATCGATTGGTGAACGCCCGAGGGCAAGACAGAAATTCATCTCAAAGGAGACACTGGAAGCCACAGATGCTTGCCGTGCGGCTCGTCTGATAAGGGA